TGCAGGAGACGAGACGCACTGCAGCATTTTGTACCCGCTGAACCTTATCTAATAAGTATTGTGGCAATTCACCCAACAAAGAATTGCGATTGTCCAGCTTAGATGTAATAAAAGCATGGCTAACGTTTCAGTATCTTTCTGTGAGTAAGACGTTTCTTGATTTTAGATAAATTGCGTATGTGAAAGAGAGCTACTTTAGAGATATTTTGAACTTGATGCTCGTGATTCATAACATCGTTAAACATTACTCCTATGTTTCTAGCTGACTCAGTTAAAACTACCCTGACACCAGCAATTTTGATGTGACATATTGGTGGTCGTGGGCGATGTTTGGCATGTATAACCAAAAACTCAGTCTTCTCGCGATTGATCCTAAGCCCATTACATGCCATCCATGCATAGGTCTCTTTAGCACAGGCCTCTATTTTCAACAGAGCAGCAGATTCATCATTAGGCATAAATGGCACATAAATTTGGCAATCATCGGCATACAGGTGGAACTTAAGGCCATGTTTTCAAATTATGTCACCAAGGGGGGCCGTATGTAAGCTGTAAAAGATTGGACCCAGTACTGATCCTTGCGGCATAATAACCCAGAATGTTATTATATAACGGCACGAGAAAAGGTAATTTGTAGCACCGTTGAGAAAGTTGAAAAACTTACGTTTCGGACCTTTGTCTTTCGTCGGAGTAAAAATGTGCGTCATATACGTACATTTTGCCGGGTCGTGTAGTCTGAATATTGTTTCTGGTTGTTAATAATTGTTGGTCAAAGAAAATTTAAGCTGGGGGCATGGTGCTCGCCGAAAATGTTAACGCCCGCAAGAGAGACTTCTTTAGGTATCGCTGACCCAATAACTCGAAGGCTCTATTTCGATGGAATAGCGATGGCATCTACGTAAGTTGAAGCAACATCCTAATTCCATCAAAATGTTCTTTAACTACAGGCCAGGGTTTGAAAACAGTGATTTCCTGGGACAGTTGCGAGCTGAAAGAAGAGTTGCAAACGAAATAGGTCTACACCTTCGTGCCAAATTCCTCAAAAATGTGGAAACGCTGTTACAGTCATTTCACCAAAGTGGCACATGAAATACACGCGATCTTAAGCCCACTAATGGCGATGCAATTGAAGATATTAGAATGAAAATGAAGAGCGAGGCACAGAAAGTGCTCCGTGTACTCGATGGTCGGGTTGAAGATGATTTCTCAGAGTCAGAATTCGAAAAGCCACATGATGAAGAGTGAGAAGACACAAGCGCCAGATGCCACGTGGGTTCAGACTCACCAAAACAGCCTGGCTCGAAAAAGACGTATCGATACAAACGTCCAGTAAGTATTACTGTTTTTTATCAGCATAATACAGATTAATGTCGTCTCCGTAAGTTAAAACCAAAAAATTAATAAGGAAGTCATCAAAAAGCAGTCAAGTATATAGTCGGGTTACCATGGTGATATTCTGTTGACTTATAGTTCATATCAAAGTTTGATTTTGTAGTGACATCATTTATGATTCGGTATATTACTTGGATTGCCATGCAAAGGGAATTGTTTGTTATTTTTGTGATTCATGGATGTGGAGTTCAGCATGTGGCTCCTATAAAAATATTTTGTATTTTCCATAACTTTACTGTGTGTTTTATTCATTTTACAGATTTGTAACGAAAATTACACACACATTGCAAACCATTTGAAGTTTTTCACAGACTCAAAAGGGAAGATGTCTCAAAAATAAGACTTCAAGAAAAGAGCAAAAAAATCAGGTGAGATACATGTATATAGTTGTGTCAATAAATAGATATCAGTGTGCATTGATCATTCATATTTGAAAACTTTTAGTAATATTTCAAATTTGTTGATACAATGCATTGTTCTTAGTTGACTTATCTCTAAAAAATATTTATTTCATTATTAAAGATATTCATTTCCTAAATTTTGTGGTTTTAAAACACATACAACTTCCAAAATTCCATGTCTTCTACTTTTTTAAATAAAAGAACTTGGAAAAATGCTACTTTGCAAGCACTGTGACTGTACAGTGTGTGGTTCTTTCTGATGTAACATCCATGAGAATGTTATTGAATTTCTTACTTTTAATCTAAATTAGAAAAGTCCTAAGTAATCGGCAAGAGGAAAAAGAT